ATATTAACAATGATTTGATTATATCAATTAAGGAAAAATTTATTAAATATTTCAGGTTATTCTATAGAATCAAAGCAGAAAATTTGGGATTGCGTCAAATCTGAATACCCTGTAAGTTTATAGTAATATCTAATTAATAAATTAATAAAATTATTTAAATATGTATATATTTTATTATTAAAGGCTTTAATAACATGGGAATATTGTATGCGATACTTGGGAACTAATTCTGGAGGAGAATTTCTCAACAATCAATGCGGCCCATCTGACGTTCCTATAGAACAGCAAGAAAGCGTAAATACATTTATAACTATTAGTAATATTCGATTATTTTTCAAAATAATAAATATATTTTTTATTTTTTCAGTTTTCTAGATGTATTGAAGAGAATATAAATGAAAATATTGTAAGTTTTAAAATTATTTATTTTATATTAAAATTAAGAAATTATTTAAAACATTTTAATATATATATGTGTGTGTGTTTTAGGAACAAAAAAGTGATGAAGAAGAGAAAATCTTGCTTCGTAATTGCATGCAAAACATGGATTTATATTAGAATAATACATTGATGTATTCACAATCTTGTAAACATTTTCAGAATTTAAATAAAATTACTTAATTATTAATATTCTGATTTAAGTATATAAATATATAAACTTATATATTGGAGTATCGTACATTTACTTATGAATGCCTACTTATAAAATTGCCAAAATTCGTAAAATTACACTTTAATTTTCTATATAAAATACGAATCTATTAAAATATATAACTATTTTAATATTTATTTATGATTAAAAGATTTTTAAAATTTTATAAAATATTTATAGAAATAATTTACTTTCGTACTGTTATAAGAGATTTAAATATATATAACCTATAAGAAGAATGATACTGTACGTAATATTAACGGATTTTTACATGTTAGACTCTTATTTATAAGGAAATGGCCTACCAGTGGCCAAGGTGTCTTCGTTTCCTTAACACTGGGAGTTCGGTCGTGGAGTTTTCCGGGTTTTCTCCACGTCTGAAACGCCTAAATAGGGGCCAATTTCCCTTAAAATGACCTCCCGGAAGGCATCACCCCTAGGCAGATCGCCCAAGTATTGCGTTGCCATAATTAAACAAACATTTACATGGAAATGCGGTAATTGCGATATTGTTAAGTTGTTATACAATATTAGGCTATGTAGTTTCTAATATAATCTGTTACTGAAATTACAAATATTGACAGAAATTATATTTACTCACATAAACTTTAATTTAACTTTACTTTCATCAATACAGTATTTCTGAATACATTAAAATTGAGACCGTAAACAAATCTGATTTCATAATTTGCGTTTTGCATTGTTAAGTTTACAACACTGATATTATTTAACACGTGGCAAACTTGTCAAGCGATACATAACATCACTATTTTTGTGTGTACTTGGTCGTCAGTTACACGCAAGATGGAACACATTGTAAATGGCGAATTTATACAATGCAACTTCAAGACAAGTGTGTCGAAAAAGTTTAATCTTTGGCTGAATGTGAAGCGTAATCATCTTGAAATTTACGAAGGGTTAGTTAAAAAAAAAACAAAAGAAGGATTAACAAGACGAAGCCACTGCAAGAAGAAAACGTAATCACGAAAATTTTACCATTGCTCTTTCATTTCATAAGAAATGCAGAAGTGATCAATCAAAAATTGATACATATTTTACATCATCGAAGATTACAATCACTATGGATAGTAATACATTCCGCGAGAGACTTGTTGAGATGATTTGTATGAATATGATATCACTCACTACATTCACATTAAATAACAAAGGATTCCAAAAGATTGCTGGCAGAAGTTTGATGTATCGATAGGACATGATGCTGTTCGTCAATTAGTAATAAACACAGCAGAGTCTGTTGACAATTATACTATTTAAAGCTAGATGATTCAACCAGCGAAAATAGAAATTTTCTTACCATCAATGTACAATTTTGAAATGAGAAAAAACGTGAAAACTGAAATAAAAACATTGGATATTGTCGATACTGAAGGAAGGCATTACTCTTTTTATGTGAAATATCATATTAAAGAAACTATAAGCATATTTTATATCGATGATTAACAAGTACTAAGTATTTGTGTTGTTAATGCAGCTAACAGTTCATGTGCTATACTGTACATAAACTTGGCGATCATGAAAATATTTCCCAGGATAAAGAAGATGAAAAAAAAACACTGAAGACATCGAAGAAATGAATGTAGACATTTCGCAACAGTGGGTTAAAGATCCTTCTCTAATATTGCCAGCGTGGACTAATGAAAATTCAACAAATGAGGTGTGGGATTCACACTCTTCAACAAGCCATTTGGGATGGATTAAAGAATGAACGAATAATAAAAGTATTAGGGAAAATTCGACAGGTTGTGGTAAAATTACGAACGCCAATAATTCGTAATGTTTTGCTGAAAATGTATGGTAAAACGCAATCCCTAGATACAGTAACGAGATGGGGTTCTACATATGCCATGCTTGATCGTCTTGTTTTTTTTTCAAAGACTACTGCGACCAAATAGCTGCTGCTGGGACAAAAACCTAAAACTTAGCAAAGCGGAATGGAACGAAGTAAAAGATAACAGAGCTGCTTTAGAAAAACCAAATATTTCGACAATTGCAATTCAAGCTGCCGATCTTACTCCGGGGATGTTTATGAAAGAATGGTGTAAAGTAGAAAAATGTATGGAAAAATTTGGAGAAGATGTTGCATTAGGAATTCTGTCCTCCATGAAAAAGCGGAAGGAAAAGATCTTTCAAAACACATATTTTCTTGCTGGAGTGTATGTTGATTCTAGGTATAGAATCTTATTAAGTGCGGCAGAAAAACTAAAAACGAGAGAAGGTCTTTCAGACATCCAACGGCGAATCAAAAGACAAATACTAATTGATTTGACTGAAGAGCCAGCAATTGTTGAACTATCACAAGCCAACCTGTAAAGAATTGAAAAAAAATTGGATAGAAGAGAAAACAGTCATCGAATTTCCAGTATACATATTAAAGATGACAACGAAATAGACAAACATATTGAGAAAGACTGCAATGCAATAGAGGATGTAGGGAGATTAAGTAGGGATGAATGTATTCGAAACCATTGACCATTATCAGAAAAGCACGCAGAGTCGCTTCAAGCATGCTAACTTCTCAAGCAAGTGTTGAGCTTATATTTTTCAGGATTAAGATTACTTTTAAGTAATAATAGGCATTTAATGAAGAACGATTTGCTGTCTGCCATTTTATTTATTAAAATCAACAAATAAATTTTAGGTTGTAAGTTAATTTTTTTCATAAACAAGTTTTTTTAATATGTATTTATANAAGATAAATATTTTAATATTGAAAGACGAGATGATGTAATTTGTCCAAATTTCTATTCCCTAGATGGAAAATTGCATGCAATTAGCGAAAAACTAGCTTCATAAAATGACCGCACGCACAACCCACCCCTATAGGGATTTTTCAATAGGAGGCATTCACCACTTGAAGATAACGAAGATCAATAAAGGATCATTAGATTAGTGGGGATAAATTGGGAGTTAGACTATTATCAAACGGTATTTAATAATAATATAATAATAAAAAAAAAGAATCTACTACTATTCAAATAATCAACAAGTTTGATAATTAACGAAAAATGATCTAACACAATGATAGCATTTTGACCTCGTTTCTTATCTACAGACGAATCAGATAAAAATTTGAAAAGTGAAGAAATAGCATCGTTACGAGGGAAGATAATAATTATAAAGAATTAGAACATATGGCAAACGTATTAGGAAGATATTAATTTTTTTATTTTTATTTTTTAAGGGCTGAGCGGAAGGTCGAGAAACTTCATTTAAACTTCAGTGTGTTCACTGGTTCGGTGTGGTATTTTGGTCTAGCTTGGGTGAGTTTAAATAAGGTTGGTGGAAGCTTTGCGTCGAGTGGTGGAGGAGGGGGAACGGTGGAGGAAGGTGCAAAACCTGTTTGGGAGGTTTAACGTCACCGAAGGTCCCGGAACTCGCCCGTTTTTAAAGTTAATCTACAACCTTTAACACTTTTTACACTTTATATTAAACCTTTCTGTTTCTCTTTATTCTTATGCAAAATTTTTCCACCAGCAATTTCTTTTATTAAAGTGAAAATAGTATATAAAAAAAATCTCTCATTACACCTTTAATTCTGTGTATCAATTGTTGCAAAATAAAAATTAATGTATAAATTAAACGAAACGAAATACGATAGAATTAACTTTATTTAAAAATACTTAAATATTTCGAGTTTATTTAAGTATTATAAGAATCCGTGAACAACAATAGTAATGGGCTCATCTGGTGTTAATTTGTGTGTTAAGCGTGTGTTTCAAGGTTATGCAGAAAAGTTACAAAACAATTTCGTGTCAATTTCTTCACCAATAAGATGGAATTTTTTTGAATTTTTCAACGTTTAAACGTGTTCTAATTTCGTATAAAAGAGTTTAAAAAGGCACGTAGACATACAAGAAATTGTAATCGAGAAACAATTGAATTAATAAAAAAACACAATAATAGTCGGACATCTTTTTAAAGCCCGAAAATCTGATATTTTCGTTAAAATTTTTATTTAAAAAAATTTTAATTATANTAGTGATAAAAAATAAAGATAAATTAAACTCAAATCAACTTTATTTTTATTGCTTAAGAGACAAAGTATGTTATAACACCAAAAATAATACAGTACATTCTATAAAATATTTTGTATCGTATGTATAGAAGATATAAATCTCTTACTAAAATCCTTAATTTTTATGTAATGAAGCCTAAGCAAAACCGAAATTATCTGTAAAAAGAAATTATATTTAATCTACATTATCTTTCACGGTGATTGTAAAACGAAAATAACACAATACACAAGAAAGATGTTAAATATTGTAATGAAAAATCCTTAATGTGGCATAGTGTAATGACAAATTTCTAGGAAAATAATGTACAAAGAGATATTCATTCTTTAATGGCTAAATTTGTTTCTAGTCGTTTCGGAAAATTGCAAAACTTGTCTTAAAGATCGTTGGTATTAGAATAAAAAGGGTCCAAATTGAAATATCACTAAGATTTCTACAATAACTACATCGTCTTACATAGTTTTTGACGGTCATTGTATTGACTTAATGTTTTCTGATCAAGAAACTACTAAATCTTACTTTTAATACTCGTATTGGCAGTCGCATATACTTTCGTTAACAATTATTTAGCTAATTGTTAACGAAAGTATCGAGTTATTCCCCTAATACACAAACGTCCCAGTTATATAGTTTTTACATATATTGAAAATGTAATAAATACATAAAAATGTAAATAATTTTTTTAAAAAAAATGATGAAACCAATATTACCCTATATACAATTTCCACCCCCATCTTTATTTTCATTAGTGCAATTGGCTTTATATAATAAATTTCCATTAAAAAATGAATGGGATGAATGTGACTCTAGGGATTAATAAAAAGCATACCGGAAATGAGGGACTGACAAAGAGGTCGTGTGCCGGTCACGTGGCCCGATCGGTTTTCCTTTCGTTTCCCTCCCCCCATATTATGAATATATCTGTGTATGTGTATATATATATA